TGGCCAGTTTTCTCACAGCACCATCAGGCGTTGGGGTCGACTTCTTTTTTTTCTTCTATGGGGCCTTGCCATGGCGTTTGCCGTCGCCACCACGGCTGGAGGAGCCTTCCGCGTACCGCCTCCTTCATCCGGGCAGCCCACTTCTCCTCGGGCAACTTGTCGTTGTCCGTTGTCACCGTCATCTCCGTGCACTCGTCCACCGCCCGCAAGCGCCCAGGCAAGTCCTCAATGGTGAGGGTTGATAGGTCTAGCAAATGGAAAGAGCGATATGGGTGTACTTGGACAGCACAACGCGCAGGTACTTGGAGACCGCCTCCTCGTTGTTGATGGTGATGTTGTGCGCCGCCAGCTGGTTGACGAGCGACTGCAATCGGAGTTAGAAATCCTCCACTGCCTCACCATCGCGGAACTTGAGGTTGTCGTACTCCTGCCGCAGCTGCTGTGTCTTCCCTTTCTTTGTGCGATCAGAACCGATGCGTCCCAAGCCTCCTTGGCGGTCTTCTTCGTCCCTAGTGACTCCCGATACTCCTGCGGCATGGAAGCTAGTATTGCCTCCATCGCCAAGCAATCCTCCTCTTCAATCCTCGGTGCCCTGGTCAATCGCCTTCTAGAGCCGTCGGCAAAGTTCAAGAAGGCGCTAGGCGGTTTCTAGGCGACGACCCATGCTTAGAGCCTAGGCGAGCCTAGGCTAGCCTAGTCGTTTCAAGGCATTTTAATTTATATTCATATATATACGTATATTACCTTAAATTAGCTTAAGTAAAAGAAATAAGAGATTATTAAGTAAAAGAAATAAGAGACATGTGGACCTAAAGTTTGAAGAAAGGCCCATTAGAAAGGCCCAGCCCACCTTATCCACCCCTTCCACCTTATCCATCCACGGTCTCCTCTCCCAGCCGCACAAACTGCCACACTCTGCTTTCTCTGCCTCCCTTCCCTGCTGGTGACGCGTGCCTTCTCCCTCTTCTGACGTGCGCCGTCCGTCTCTACTTCCCTCCTCCGGTGATGCGCGGCTCCTCCCTCCTTCTCCGACGCCGCCCGCACCACTTGGTTGCGCCTGCCATCTCCGCGACCGTTCGTCCTCACAACTGCGCCCGCCCGCCTTCCAGCTAGTCGTGCCCCAACCTCCGCTCGTCGCCTGCCGCCTCCTAGCCGCGCCGGCGGCTGCCCTCCTCCCGGTCGCGCCTATCCTCCGCCTACCCCCTTAGGCAAGGCGGCACCCCTCCGCCTAGCGCGTAAGCGCGCCTAGTAGCGCCTTTTTGAACATTGGCCATCGGGCTCTGAGCTTGACCTTCATGGTCACCGCCCACTCGCCGTAGTTCGTGCGGGTTAGGACCGGCCAGTTAGCCCCGCTAACCACCCGCACGGTCCGCGTGATGACCTCCTGGCATGGCTGGGCAGCCACGGCATCTCCATCGCCGGTGCCCACCTCTGAGCCATCCTCGCTTGCCATTGCCAGTGATCAGCCGCGCAAATGGACAGCCTAGTTCTAATACAACTTGTTGGCCCTTGATCTCCCTGCACAGGTGAGCAGTAAGCTCACCTACACTCACACAAACTCACACGGCTGCAGGGTGAAGAAAGGGTGAGCACAGAACACACACACACACAAGGTAAGTGCTGCTGCACTTTCCTGAATGCTGCTGCAGCTGCATCCTGGTGCTGCTGCTGTGCTCTTGAGAACAGAATACTCACTCACAGGACACTCTGCAGGTGTAGCAAAACTGAACTAAATATTACATTACCATGGCTGCAATTATATACACAGGTAGCTAGTGGAGGTTGACTGCTGTAGCAGTCAAGTCAAGTCTAGTCTACAGTCCTACCTGGCTGCTAGGAACTTGCTAGGAAGTTGCTCTGCAGTAGCAAGGAAATTACACTGCCTGTGCTTGCAGCCAGCAGTGGACAGCAAGGTATTGACCTATTGTCAACCTTCTATCCAGGAAAACAATCAAGGACAGCAGCGGATTATCTTAACACTAATGTGTATCCATTACCTCTGCTCCTCATCATGGCAGCCCAGAATTGGGTTCTCTCCTATCATTGCCTTTCTGTGCAATTAAGATTGCAGTCGTCCTCTTGAATATATAATTAATCGTCTGTTACATTTGTTCAGGTGTGCACTGCTGATATTCATGAACACTATTAGAATAGTATCTGCACAGATGTTTTCCTTCATAATCAGTAGGCAAGACTGTTGGAGAAACCATGTTGCGAAAAGCACTTGCAAACATATTTTCTTCCCAATAAGTGGCACCATGTAAATATATACTGGTTCCATGCACTGGTGAATTGTGATAGGCTGATAGCTGTGGGTTGACTATTGGCACAACTGATTTTTTATGCGACATTCCCTACTGTAAAGAAGCTCGCTTTATTAAATCTATAGACCTCTACATATTGTTGAGGTATAATAGTCACGGGTACCAAAGATCTAGGTTTAGATCCATCCACTACCCTTCCCTCTTGTGCGCTGCCCCACGGGAGGATCCACCTCTGCTGCTCTTGGGGGTGGCCTTGTTGGTCTTTTTTTTTCTCCCGGTCGTGCACGGATCCTTCCATTGTTGTGGATGGGTCCATGCGGTCCGTCACTGGTGGGGATCTCCGCCCATCGTGTCACCTTCATTGTGCGTGGAGGACTTCTTCGTTGGACCCGCCCTGTCGCCATCTGCTTCCGCTCACGTGGCCCATCGCCCGTGACGTGAAATCCGTCCTTGTCGTTCGCCTGCGCACCCGTGCAGCCTTCATTGAGCCGTCCCCATCCGCGCCTGCGCGGCCTGTCACCGTGTGGACCGTCCGTCTGCGATCCGCGAGTGCTGCGTCGTCCACCCGTCCGCGGTCTCTGTCGCCAGGCTCATCCACAGGTCGGCTCCCTTCTGCCACCGTTGGCCCGCGCCTGTCCTACTCTGCCCGTCGTGGAGTACAGACACCCGCACCACCAGACCATCCGTGCCTTTGCCTGTGCGCATTGTCCGCGCGGCATCTATGACGTCTGCACGGGCGCTCTCCATCTGTCCTTGTGGGCTCTTTCCACCGGGCGGGACTTGTCGGTCCTTAATGGCCCACTGCCCATCGTGGGTTGGTCTGTTGCCCAGCGAGGAGGATATGTCCGTGTTATCAGATTGATTCCGTCCATCATGGACCTTCCTTCATGCTTGTTGATGATTCTGCCCCACCTTTTGATTCTTCTTTATCTATTGCTGTCCGTCGAAGTCATTTTCCTAAATTCATGTTGCTTGCTGCTCCTATAGTATTTTGAGGCCTATTTTCTAAGTTCCTTTTTTTTTCTCAATTGCATGTGTGTCCATCCAAGTCTAGTTGCACATCTCCAGTTCGTTCAAGCTGTGCGTGTCCACAAATTTTGTTAGATCAGCCAATCTTTTTTTTTTGAAGGGCAGGCCTGGTGCAGTGGTGAGAGCTGTCTCACTGAGTCACCAGGTCGCGGGTTCGAAGCAGCCTCTCCGCAGATTTTGCGGGGGGAAGGCTTGCCTCGGTTTTTCCCTTCCCTAGACTCACTCATGTGGGAGCCTCCGGCACTGGGCCTGCCCTTTTTTTAGCCAATCTTTTTTTTTCTTTGGTTAGCTGAGTCCCGTCGATTTAGCTAATCATCATCATTATTGATGCAAATATGCCCTCTTGGTCTCTTTCGTAGCCCATTTTGCTACACTTCATGATCAATGGACGTTTATTTGTCACCATCACCATTCTATCCAACTATGTGCCGTCTTGCAGCAGTGTTCTCTCTATGCTTCCTTTGGCTTGATTTGACACATCTCTATATTATCGTCGAGTTCAAAGTCTCCAAAGCAAGGTTCATATTTGAAGAGTCGAAGTAGGCCTGTACATGGTCCGGTTTAAGCAGTTTTTTTCGCAAAATCCAGCCCAAACCGCAAGCCATCACTGTCCTACGGTTTGGAACCCGCGGGTTATACGGGTAACACAGTCTGGGCGTCTGCCGTATGACGTCACATCAGAACCAGAGGTCGAGGGTTCTTGTGCTCCTCCAAGTCTGCCGCATTCCTGCCGGTGGCGGCGCCGTTGGGCATATTGTCGACGAGGTCCAAAGAACAGACATGTGAGAATCCCGTCCGCTGCAAGCAAAAGAAGTGCCGCCGAGCAGAACACAACAGGGTTTCAGTCATCCGAACAAGCAGATTAGGCACAAATTGCAACTTCCCGACCTACCCAAGAGGAGATCCCACAAATTAAAGAAGCACCTTGAAAGGGAGCTTTAATTTCTCGTCTATTGCTACATGAAAAGTAGAGCTTATTGGTTGGATCGAGCTGGAGGCGGCGGGACGCTGGCAGCAGCAACTTGGCCACCGATGAGAATCACCTCCGGCGGGCGCGTCTCCTCGCCTGGTTCGTACCCTCTTTGAAGTTCTCGATGCGGCGCTTGCAATCCTCACAAATCTTGTACATGGAGAAGGAAAGCAGCAGTTCCCTGTACCCGTAATGGCAGGCGATGGCTGATGTGGACTGTCATGACACGGCGGCCCCGACCAAGGCGTCTAGGGGAGAAGCCGTGGCGGGCCCATGCCACTCGGTTGAGAAGCCGGTGCCGATGCTGTTCGGGTCCGACGGTTTAGCGGTCTGAGACCGTACTCAAACCAACCCAGGCGTAGCTTCCAAATCGATTTTGAATGGGCTGGTTTTACGGGTTGAACAGGTTTTAACCAGCCCATGTACTGGGCTAGAGGAGATCATTGCATTTGAGAGGGGATGTTAAGGTATAACAGTCAGGGGTATTAGTGTAATCTCCTAGTCTGGAGTTTCCCTCTTGTGTCTTCAATGTATTCTATCCCATTGGGCCTCAATACTATCACCTAGTTGAATCTCTCTTTATTCGTCGTAACACATACAGTCAGTGAAAGTGCATTTAGAGTAGAGCCCTGAAGTTCTCGGATCAAAGTTGAAAGTTAGTTTTAGTTTTATTGATTCACTTTGTTTAATATTATCCCCCTTTTATGTGATCACAGTAATATTACTGTTTCTTGTAGAGTATCTAAGATCACAGAAGATATTCTGTTTGAACAACAAGAAAACTGTGACAGTACTGATGATAACGAGGAAGGGGCTAAAATTTTCAACATGCTAGAGCATGCTGCTGAACCTGAATTTATACTTGCGGGCATGGCTCCGGAGCAGTTGAAGCTTTTCTCATCTTATATAGAAAAGCGAAAGGTAAGTAGCTCTGGCATCTGTTGGTTCATATTTACATGAAAAGTTGCACATGCTAAATCAATATACTGCAGATTGTTAAGCAAAACGAAGTATCTAAGAAGGTTGAGAAGGCCCTTGAAGTTGCTGGCCTTAGTAAAAGGGATGTTACACCATTTTTGAAAGTGAGAGTGATTGGCCTTGTCAATAAACATTCAGCTTCCACATCCAGTAACAAGGAAGGGCTAATAACAATTTGGAATCCTACTGAGATGCAGGTATGTCACAATCATCCTGCAGTCCAGATGTGGTGCATACATCTTTAGGGTTTAGGGTTTAGTGGTTCAGGGTTAGGTTCTGGATGAAAGGATTTTTGGTGTAAACCATTAAAGCTTCATCATTGCTATTGACAGAAACATAATCTTGTGGAGGGACAAGCTTATTCTGTTATGGGATTGGTGCCTTCGAACTATTGCACTGAAATCCTGTACTTGCATGCTAGAGGATCATCTACAACATGGAAGCCCTTAGCATCAGCTCAGACTACAGATTTTAAGTAAGCAGCATGTCTGCACTCCACAGTTACATTTCATCATTCAACCTTGATCATGTTTCTTTTTCCAGACCATTCTTTACCCCTCGTAAAGCAATTGAACTCTTGAAATTTGGTGAGGTGCCAATTTCAAGGTCAGTCTGATCTCAGATTTAACCTTCCCAATTTTCTCTCATTGTATGAATGAACCTATTGAATAATTCGTATTGGTTGCAGTGAATTTGATATTGCAGGTCTTATTTTATATGTTGGCAATACTTATTTATGTAGCAACAAGAAAAAGCAGTGGCTCTTTTTAACAGATGGATCTAAATTTATCTCTGGACAAGGGTGTGAAGAGCAAGATTGTCTTCTAGCTGTTAGCATTTCGTCCGCACCCACTGATGAAGACTCTGCATTATTTAGTTATACTCTCTCTGGAAACACAGTATGTGATATTTTGATTTTGTATATATGTTGAGTTTCTGTTTCTTATTTTGAATCCTCTAGATTGAACACCAGTCTAGGAAATCTGTTGCTAGACATTTGAGGACCATTTGAAGTTCTTACATTTGTTCAGCTTTAACCCTTTCAAAGCAAGTGCAGCTTTAGCTTATTGCTAAATTTCTTGCTCAGGTTGGTTTTAGTAATCTGGTCAAACGACAGAAAGACGAGACGAGGCAAATATGGGTAGCTGAGGCAACAGAGATCTCAAGCTACACTCTTTCCAATGAGATTCCTAGAAAATCTCACCTAAAAGAAGCTGCAGCTGCGGCTGAGAGATGGGCTTCAAGATCTTATCATGTAAGTTTTCCACTCCTTAAGACACCACAGTTAGGTGTGAGTGCTATATTTTTATGATGATTGTAGTGTCACTCATTGTTTTACTGCAATATGAATGATCCTTGCAGAAAATTCAAGAGCTAAAAGAAAGGATTTTATGTATAGTTGGCAATGCTGGTGTCTAAATTATAATAAACGATGCTGCCTGCTGTTTTTGGAAATGGTGCAAGATTTTGCTTGGGTTTTTGCCGTAACTACATCAATATTTCTCATTGATGTTGGTTGGTTCAGGTTGGAGTCTTTTACCGCAATACGAATGGCCCTTGCAAAAACTTCAAGAGCTAAAAGAAAGGCTTTTTTATGTATAGTTGGCAACCCTGTTGTCTGAATTATTATAAACGGTGCTGCCTGCTGTTTTTGGAGATGATGCAAGATTTTGCTTGGGGGTTCTTGCTGTAACTGCACCAATATTTTTCAGTGATGTCGGTTCTGGTTGGAGGCAATGTGTTCTAGTACAGTAGTACTGAAGCATTATGCTAGTGGGATGTTCATGATCATGAACTGATGGGCAGAGAATAAACAACTATGATGCATACTTCACAGTATGCAAAGGACAAGGAGATAAATATTCTTCAGAAGGTATTGCAATTTAACAATAATGCCTAGACATCTAGAAGCCATGTTATGTGTTGTGATGTACAATTACAAGACCAGCAACCCCATTGCATGCACAAATTTCAGAACTTACCTAGCTGTAACCACTACCATTGCTATATTTTTGCACTTGCAGGGCTTGCTATTTTGGGCTGGACAGACCAGAGTTCAACTCCACTCACATGGGAACTCTCAAGCCTCAACGTGTACCCCTTCTGGTTTATAACAGGGAGCCTTATGCTGCCCTGCTCAGTTCAATGCTGGGATTTGGAGCCTGCCAAGTCTTTGTACTGTCCAGGCTTACATGAGCAAGTGGCCTATCCACTCGCTTATATAATTATAAAATGGTCTACGGACTACTATTTATTATTCTGATAAAGTTATATAGCTGCATTACCTATGTGATACTGTTGGACTGTTATTGTTTCAAATATTACTATTGGACTGTTGGTCGCTTTCCTTTGTATGCCTTATGCAGCTGGTATTGTTGTCTGGGTCGAAAGTACTTCATCCGTTTTAAATTATAAGATGTTTTGTTTTTTGATACATTGCTTTTATTATGTGTGACAGAACTGTCTAATTTATACAAGCTTAAGCACAGCTGCCCTCGCTTAATACCTTGGCATGCATATATTTGCACTAATATAAACCCGGTAGTTCGTTGAGTGTCATAAAGGACCTTGATAAATCTAAATTGCAACTAAGATTGCACGATTAAGTAAATACACATCATATACACGGAGTTTGCAGCGGAATAATATTACAATTGAGTTCACAATAACTAATACCGGATCAAGTTCAAATCTGATTTGGAGAAAACAACATAGCTTGAAATGATTATAATAACTTAACTCATAAATACATTGTTAGCATAAGTGATATTCTCCAACAATAGCGATGAGAAATAAGTATAGAGTTGTCGTGCCCATTGGCGGTTAGCCACCATCTTCAGTAGATTGAGAACTTCACTTGTAACATGGTGGGATAAACCCTGAGTACTCTGTATTCAGTTAGGTTTACCCGATAGGAGAGAAATAAAAAGACTCTTAGGGATATGCAAGGCTTATTTAGTGGAGTTGATTGGATAGCATAACTTTGCAAAAAGAGCATTACTACCATTAGTCCTTACTTTCAATATTTTAGTCAATATTTTAGCATCAGCACCAAGTCTAGTGAAGCTTATTATGACTAACTTTGCACCTATTCTAGAGCAATCATTTGATTAAAGCAAACATTAGTAACCATATCCAGGTTATCATATAATCATCATAACCATCATGTTTCATTCCATGTTACTATGATGAGGGGGCTCAGTCAAGTTTCTCATTATCCGGAAGAGAGGACGATTCGAATCGATTACAATCAACTGGGCAGAAATTCTAACACAAACCCACACTTTCCCCGTTAGGGTTACGTTGGGTAACCTTTGGTACAACTCAGGACTCAACTTTGCAGGTTCGATCAGCGTCGCACACTTAGGGACCAACCAGCTGCCAGGACGCTTAGGGCTTGCCTGCCCTTGGTCTTATATCCGTGTCCCCACACATCCTTTCTACCTCCAGTGTGCACCCTTGGACAGAATGACCCCCAGCCTGAGTTAAGCTACTCGGCTTCGCGATCGAAACGAGTTATCCGACCAGCTAAGTGAGAGTCTGTGTTCAAAATATCATGAGGGCCCACAACGATGCGGTCCTTAACCAACACAGACGGGATAAATATGCACACAAGACCTCCATGTCCTGCTGCCTCTCAATCACCAGATCTCATCCGGTCTTTATTTATTCATTACCGCATGGTCATTTTTCACGATAGCAAATATAGCCAACCATGACCAGGTATCCACCTATATTGCAGGTGACAGGGAATCACCCACTTCTACCGGTCTAAGCATGGCTAAGCATAGAACGTCCTACTCATACTAGTAAGGGTTCAAGTATTTATATATAGTGGACAAGGTAGGAATTATGCACCAACAGTTCATTCAACTCCTATCACCTAATGCAGCATACAAAAATTATACTTATATGCATTTGTAAAAAGAGAGGGAAGGAGAATTAGAATGCTCTGGGGCTTGCCTGGAGTCCAACACAAAGTCAGTTCAATTAGCTTGCACCGTCTTGGGGAACATCTCCACTCTAGGCATGCACTCCATGGGTCCTTCCATCTTGGGGATAGGTCTACCAAAACACCATCTTCGGATTCGGCTCCAACCTCACGTCCTTTGGTTCCCCGCGTGATTCATCTAGCATACCTAAATGAGATTCAAGATGCAAGTGCATGAATGCGAAGAATGGTAGCATGAGATGCATCACATACAAGCATTTAAGATAAGCACAAGGTTATACCAAAAGACATAAGCACCTAGAGTTGTTTAACTAAACATCACACAATATATTATAGAAAGATAGCAAGCACATCAAGCATGGCACACAAGTTAACTTAAGTTTAGATATTACAAGAATTCATCAATCAAGAATTAACTAAATATGTTTAGGCAAAACAAGAGCAAGCTAAGGCAATTAGCTTAGCTCATGCCCAGAATCTGGACAGCAACACAAAAGGCATTCGTTTCAACCATAACTGGAGTTATAGGCATCAAACAAAGATGATCCTAGACTTTATAGAAAGCTTAGCAAATTATCTACAACTTTATTATTTACACCTAGAGTTGATTCAAAGGTTAACAAGGTTAAAAAACACTAACAAGCAGATCTGCACAAAATAGGACAGAAAACTGACATGAACTTCATAAATGCATAACTGGAGTTCTAATCATCCAACAAACATGATTCTTAACTTTATGGAAATATTATTAAGTCATTTATAACTTTATTATTATCATATTAAGATGATTCTACAGCTAACAAGATTAAACAACCCAATGAAGGCCTCTCTGTCCAAATTTGGACAGAACCAGCCATTCCACTTTGAACAGCTATAACCGGAGTTCTAGGCTAGCAAAAGTGATGCTCTTAGACATTTTGGAAATATTAGCAAAAGCACTAGAACTCTTCTATTATCACCAATACATGATTCCATGTTTAAATAAGCCAAACAATATAATCATTCAGATCTGTTCAGAGCACATATAAAAGCTGACAACAAACTTGTAAAATATATAATTCCTAAACCATCAGGACTAAAATCATGAAATTTTAGTACAAGAAATATAAGAAAATTATCTACAACTTTGGTATTCAACATGTCTACAGAAAACATCATTAAGGCCACGAAATCATCACCACACTGCTAACTGCTCTAGCAGCCACAACAGCAGAGATACAACTATATGCATTTATCATTTAGGTTGTTAACAACTAACATTTTGTTGCTATATATGCAGCTCCTAATCATAACCAAGCAATCACATTACTTATCACCAATTATTAGAAGTATTAGATGGCATAAACACATGCATCTATTAACAAACTTTCATCCTCTAATTATATAATGCAACATATATATTATTTTTAGTGCTATACAAGAACAACTAGTTTGGGGATGAGACTTTTTATGAGTGGTAGATGTTATCCAAACATGGCTACTGCATAGATTTCATATGCTCATGTTTTATAATTTAATTACTATGAAAAAGACAAATCTTAATTATCAATAAACATGTATGAACAAGATAAATATGAGATTCAATATTTTCTACAAACGCATGGCTATATTATATGTTATTATGGTAGCACAACATCATACAAAGGTAGAGGAACAATATTTTCCATTTTTACACCTTCATAAAAATTATAACTTATTTAAAACCATTTATCAAGCACTAAACAAGTTAATCAATAAATCAATCATACTGCATCCAATGAACCTGAAAGTTTTACCACAACACACATATATCATCAGTAGCCTATCATAAAAATTTCACAGCAATTGAAGCAACATAACTCCAGATATGAATTTACTCCTAGAAAACCCTAATTTACAAAAATAAATAAAAACAATAGAAACTTTCTACTAACACATATCATATTATGACTCTACTGCGTAGATCTACTCGCAAGGATTTCAAAACATCTTCATTTGCTATTTTACAATTTTTTCTATGAATTACCATGATTTTCCAAAGTTTTAGCCGATTAAAAGCAATAAAGGAAAAGGTAAAGAAAAACACTTTTGCATCGGGAACCCTGAACTTTCTAGGAATCAAATAAGTCCAAATCTAAAAAATCCTTCTCTCTGGCGCTTTTGCATCAGGACCTAGAGAAGAGTTTCTATTTCCATTTTACTCCCTCTCTTCTTCTCGACGGGAAACAGAGCAGGGCGGTGGGAGGAGAATGTCGGGGAGGTTGGGACCCGGTGGGAAAACGTCCGGCGGTGGCAAAGAAGGGCCGGCCAGGCTTGGACGTTGCCATGCCTGGCCTTGACTGTGTCGACGCACAGCCTGACCTTGCACACTGGCCATGACAATGAGCGCACTGCAAGCACCAAAACGACGATGGCCGATGGTTGAACTCAGGCTAGGGTTTAGGGAGGCGGACATGGAGTCGGAGGTAGGCTCGGTGGCGGTGCTAGAGTGGCCCGCTGGGGTGGAGGAGAGCAGGGAGTGGTGGTGGCAGCTCGGAGCTCTGCTTGGCCGACAGCCATGGCGGTCGCGTCCGCGCTCTGGCGCAGATCGAGGAAGGGAGCGGGGAGAGCGAGCGCAGCAGGGCCATAACGATTGAGAGGGCGAGCGCAGGGCCTTGGCATGCTCCGCATCGATGCGAGGGAAGGCAGGGGCACGTGGCAAAGAGGGGGGCGCTTCCCTGCATGGTCGCCACGGAGGCATTTCATCGAGCACATGGCGGGCGACGGTGTGGCCTCCTTAGGATCCGATTTTGGGCTGTTTCCAGTCCAATCTGGGCCTTGGGCTTTAAACAAAGTTTGTTGTACTCCTGATGATCTCCAACTTTCATTAGGAGAATCTGGCCATTAGGGTCCTCTATTAATGGCTAATTAAGCCCGAAGTTGACATGGTCAGCGACTTAACAAGGGTTAAGCCTTGCTCTGCTTGAGCTCAAATTACTTGGTCCAAACAATGATCAAACTTGATTGAACTTCTTTCAAGACCTTATTCATGTAATTAACTCAAACTCTTATTTTGGGATCAAGTCAAGTTGCTTAACAAAAACACGAGAATGCGACATGCCAACTATCATTGCCACTAATCTCAGACTTAGAATATTTTCTAGGGCTAAAAACAGCAGCAAATTCAAATTGTAACCTCTGCTTGACAAGCTTAGACATAGATTCAACCTTTGGTCTAAAAACAAAGTTTGTAGCACACAAACTAAACTACAACTTTCATTTAAGG